CAGGATTTTCCATCTACATATCTTTATATAACAGGATTTTCCATCCGCATATCTTCATGAAACAGGACTTTACATCTAAATTTCTCTATAGAAAAGCATTTTCCATCTACATATATTTATGAAACAGGATTTCCATCAACATCTCTTTATGAAACAACATTTTCCATCTACACATCTTTATTAAAAGCATTCTTTATCTACATATCTTTATGAAACTAGATTTTCCATCCACATATCTTTATGAAACAGGATTTCCATCCACATATCTTTATGAAACAGGATTTTCCATCCACATATCTTTATGAAGCAAGACTTTCCATCCAAAAATCTTAATGAAACAGGATTTTCCATCTAATTTTCTTTATGAAAAAGGATTTGCCATTCACATATCTTTAGGAAACTTGATTTTCCATCCACATATCTTTATGAAACAGTATTTTCAAAACACATATCTTTATGAAACAAGATCTTCCATCTACATATTTTTATGAAACAGGATTTTTCAATCCACATATCTGATAAAACAGGATATTCCATCGACATATCTTTTTGAAACAGGATTTTCCATTAAAATTATCTTTATGAACCAGGGTTTCCATTTACATATCTTTATGAAACATGATTTTTCCATCAACGTATATTTATGAAAAAGGATTTTCCATCCACATAACATTATGAAAGAGGATTTTCCATCTACATATCTTTATGAAATAGGATTTTCCATCTATATATCTTTATGAAAAGGCATTTTCGTTTTACATATCTTCATAAAACAGGATTTTCATCCACATATCTTTATTTAAAAGGATTTTCCATCTACATATCTTTATGAAACAGGACTTTCCATCCACATATCTTTATGAAACAGGATTTTCCATACACATATCTTTATGAAACAGGATTTTCATTCTACATAACATTGATGAAACCGGTCCTACAGACAGTCCTACGCGCTACCTGCGGGTTTAAAATAACAGGTCTACAGACAGTCCCACGCCCGACCTGCCGGGTTTGAAACAACAGACGTACAGACAGTCCAACACCATATATGCAGGTTATAAAACAACAGGCCTACAGACAGGTCTACACTATACCCGTGACTCTTCCACTGAAATTGCTTTACTATCAATTGTTACTGTAACGTTTCATTACTATGAATATTTTGAAAACGATGACAAGATACAGTCCGACAACCTACCTGCGGGGTTAAATAAATTATAAAATACTGATGAGTCAGTTTCAGTTAATTAATCACGAGGCGACACCCACACTAAAAAAAAAATTAATAAATAAATAAATTGAAAAACATTTTTTTTTTTTTTTTTTTACATTTTCTCATCATCGTCTTCCAAGTTCTGGAAATAATTCTGATTGTGAGTTGTCGCGATTTGGGGAACGTAGTCGTGGGCACCAAACAGTTTGAGAACCTCGGGCTTATAATTTCCAGTCGCGTGTTTAACACTGGCTATTGCCTTTGAAGTTGGATAAGCCAATACAATAAGTGTTTGTTTTGTATAACTGAGCAAAGGTAAAGAAAACACATGTGTTCAACACCAGTATTATCAAATAGCTGCAGCAAACACCTGTCTTTTCAAATAGCTGCAGCTAGCACCAGACTTATCTCATAGCGACAGCCAACACGTTAAGTGTTCTGTTTAAAACTACAAATTTGTTTAAAATCGTGTTTTTTTTAAAGGACTTTTTGGGGGGAAAAAAGGATTTGATGGAACGAGAGATTCTAATATCGAGCGATCTCATTGTCTTACAAAAACTAACCAAGACCCAAGGGTCACGAATAGGTCTCCGTGAACCTCGATGACAAGAACTGAAAGGGTCACGAATAGGTCTCCGTGAACCCCGATGACAGGAATTGAAAGGGTCACGAATAGGTCTCCGTGAACCCCGATGACAGGAACTGAAAGGGTCACGAATAGGTCTCCGTGAACCTCGATGACAGAAACTGAAGAGACGACGACCGTTGCCATTGTTTCCAGAGTCCTTATATCAAGGGGCTTTTTTAGACAAAATTGACCGTTTATTGTTGCAGGATGGAAATGTGTTGTTTAATTTTTTGTATTCTTTTTAAACTGTAAAAAAAAAAAAAAAAAAAAAAAAAAAAAAAAAAA